GCGTGTGTGCGTGTGCGTGTGTGCGCGCGTGCGTGTGTGCATGTGTGCGTGCGTGTGCGCGCGTGCGTGCGTGCGCGTGTGCGCGCGTGCGTGCGTGCGTGCGTGCGTGAGCGCGTGCGTGTTCGTGTGCGTGTGTGCGCGTGTGTGCGTGTGCGTTTGTGCGCGCGTGCGTGTGTGCATGTGTGTGTGCGTGTGCGCGCGTGCGTGCGTGCGCGTGTGCGCGCGTGCGTGCGTGCGTGCGTGCGTGAGCGCGTGCGTGTTCGTGTGCGTGTGTGTGCGTGTGTGCGTGTGCGTGTGTGCGCGCGTGCATGTGCGTGTGCGCGTGCATGTGCGTGCGCGCGTGCGCGCGTGTGTGTGTGTGCGTGTGTGTGTGTGTGCGTGTGCGTGCGTGCGTGCGTGTGGTGTGTGTGTGCGTGTGCGTGTGGTGTGTGTGTGTGTGTGTGCGTGTGTGCGTGCGTGTGCGTGTGCGTGTGCGTGTGCGTGTGCGTGTGCGCGTGCGTGCGTGCGCGTGCGTGTGCGCGCGCGCGCGCGTGCGGTGGTGTGCGTGGCGTGTGTGTGTGCGTGGGTGTGTGCGTGTGTCAGTGCGTGTGCGCGTGCGTGCGTGCGTGCGCGTGTGCGTGTGTGTACGTGTGTGTTTTGTGTGTGTGTGTGTGCATTGTGCGTGTGTTGTGCATTGTGTGTGTTGTGTTTGCGCTTTGTGTTGTGTGCGTGCGTGTGTGTGCACGTGCGTGCGCGTGCGTGTGCGTGTGCGCGTGCGTGTTCGCGTGTGTGCGTGTGTCCGTGTGCGTGTGCGCGTGCGCGTGCGTGTGCGCGTGCGCACGCGTGCGTGTGCGCGGGTGCGTGTGCGAGTGCGTGTTCGTGTTCATGTGCGCGTGCGTGTGCGCGCGCGTGCGCGCGTGCGCGCCTGCGTGCGCGTGTGCGTGTGCTGCGTGTGCTGCGCGTGCTGCGTGTGCTGCGTGCGCTGTGTGTGTGCGCGTGCGCGCGTGCGCGCGCGCGTGCATGCGCGCGCTTGCGTGTGCCGTGTGCGCGCGTGCGTGCGTGTGCGCGTGTGCGCGTGTGCGTGCGTGCGCGTGTGCGTGCGTGCGCGCGTGCGCGGGTGCGTGTTCGTGCGCGCGTGTGCGTGCGCTTGCGCGTGCGTGTGGGGGCGGTGTGTGTGGCGTGTGTGTGTGTGTGTGTGCGCGGGTGTGTGCGCGTGCGTATGCGTGTGTGTTTGCGTGTGCGTGCGCGTGCGCGCGTGCGCGTGCGCGCGCGAGTGCGTGTGCGTGCGCGCGCGCGTGTGCGGGTGGTGCGTGTGGCGTGTGTGCGTGTGTGTTTGTGTGTTCGTGTGCGTGTGCATGCGTGCGTGCGAGCGTGCGCGCGCGCGTGCGCGTGCGTGTGTCCGCGTGTGTGCGCGTGCGTGCATGCGTGCGTGCGTGCGTGTGTGCGTGCGTGTGTGCGTGTTATGTGTTTGTTGTGCGTGTGCTGTGTGTTGCGTGTGGTGTTTGTGTATTGTGTTGTGTGCGTGAGTGTGTGTGCGTGTGTGTGCGTAAGCGTGCGCGTGCGCGCGCGCGCGTGCGCGTGTGCGCGCGCGTGTGCGTGTGCGCGTGCGTTTGCGAGTGCGTGCGCGCGCGTGTGTGCACGCGTGCGCGTGCGAGTGCGCTTTCGTGCGCGCATGCGTGTGCGCGCGCGTGCATGCGCGTGTGCGCGCGCGTGCGTGCGTGTGTCCGTGTGTGTGCGCGTGCGTGTGTGCGCGTGCGTGTGCGCACGCGCGTGTGTGTGTGTGCGTGTGTGTGTACGCGCGTGCGTGTGCGTGTGCGTGCGTGCGCGTGTGCGCGTGCGCATTCGCGCGTGCGCATTCGCGCGTGCGTGTGCGCGCGCGCGTGTGCGCGCGCGTGCGGTTGCGTGCACGTGCGCGTGTGCGAGTGCGTGTGCGTGTCCTCTTGTGCATGCTCTTGTGCGTGTGCGTGTGCGTGTGCGTGTGCTCTTGTGCATGCTCTTGTGCTCTTGTGCGTGTGCGTGTGCGTGTGCGTGTGCGTGTGCGTGTGCGCGTGCGTGTGAGCGTGCGCGTGTGCGCGCGCGCGTGCGTGCGTGCGTGCGTGCGCGTGTGCGTGTGCGTGTGCGTGTGCGTGTGAATGTGCGCCTGCGTGTGCGTGTGTGCGTGTGCGTGTGCGTGTGCGTGTGCGTTCGTGTGTGTGTGTGTGCGTGTGCGAGTGCGTTTGCGTGTGCGCGTGCGCGTGTGCGCGCGCGTGTGTGCGTGCGTGTGCGTGTGCGCGTGCGTGTGCGTGTGCGTGCGTGTGCGTGTGCGCGTGAGTTGTGCGTGTGTGCGTGTGCGCGTGCGCGTGCGTGGCGCGTGCGTGTGCGTGTGCGTGTGCGTGCGTGTGCGTGTGCGTGCGTGTGCGTGTGCGCGTGTGCGTGTGCGTGTGCGTGTGCGTGTGCGTGTGCGTGTGCGCGTGCGCGTGCGTGTGTGCGTGTGCGTGTGCGTGTGCGTGTACTTGTGCGCGTTTGCGTTTGCGCGTGTGTGCGTGTGCGCGTGTGCGCGTGCGCGTTTGCGCGCGTGCGCGCGCGTGCGCGTGTGCGCGTGCGCGCGTGCGCGCGTGCGCGCGTGCGCGCGTGCGCGCGTGCGCGCGTGTGCGGGAGTGCGGGTGTGCGGGTGTGCGGGTGTGCGGGTGTGCGTGTGCGTGTGCGCGTGCGCATGCGCGTGCGCGTGCGCGTGTGCGTGTGCGTGTGTGCGTGTGTGTGTGTGTGTTTGTTTGTGTGCGATCAAGCGCGTGCGTCTTTCACCGGTTAGCATAGGCCATAGCAATGAATGGGCGCGCAGTCTTAAAACAAGTTTTAAAAAAAAAACGACGAGTTGCTAAAGCGAGAAACGGATGTAATAATTTGCGTTGCCGAGCCAAAAGAAGACAACACATCATTTAGTAGACGCAGAAACTGGCTTACTGAGTTAAACAGCAGTTGTTGTTTTTTTCTGGACCCACGTTTTTTCGTAAACAATCCCAGGTCCTATCATTACCATGACTTGAGTGGTTCGACCAGTTTTCATATGCATGCAGAGATGAGGAGGGAAACGGAGGGAGGTACATCGATAGAGAAAGAGAGATGGAGAAGGAGAGGGAAAAGGAGAGGGAGGGAAGGAGAGAGAGCGGATGGGTAGGGGGAGACGAGGGGGCGAAAAGAGGCAGGGAACGCGGCTCCTTGTTGGCTCGTCATGGACCTTTTCTCGGCCCTGCGGCGATTCTGCAGACCGTCCACCAGAAAAAGGGGGGGCCTACGATTCAAGTCCTTCTCGAATGCTTGAAAAGATTAGTAGTGGTGTATTTCCCCAAACATTGTTTGCACTTGGAGGTTTTTATTTCTTGTCTAAGAACTTGGGCTTGTTTGGTGGTCGCTGGGCCTGTTTGGCGGTCCGACCGCTCTGTTGCCGCCCCCGTCGCCGCCTCGTCACCGCCCGTCGTCTTGGCGCGACGGTCGGTCTGGCGGCTGTGTTGCCGCCGTCGCCGCTTTGTTGCCGCCCGTCGTGTGAGCTTGTCTGGCGGTCTGGCGGCCATGTTGCCGCCGCCGCCGCCGGCCCGTCGCCGCCTCGCCGCTGCCACATAGGTTGCTCCACATAGAGTGCACATCATATATTGTACCACAATCAATTGCACCACATAGATGGCAGCACATGTATCGCAGCACATGTGTTACACAACATCGGTTCCACAACCTGTATTACACAATACATATATATATATATGCATATATGTATTGCACCACCTAGACTGCGCAACATCGATTGCACTTCTTGTATTGCACACCAAATATTGTGTCACATGTTTTGCACCACGTTGTTTTGCTCCACGTAGACTGCACCATATATATATTTAACCACATCGATTGCACAATCTATATGTTCTCCACAGGCTGCACGACATATACTGCTCCACATAGAGAGCACAACACAGAGTGCACCACGTAAACTGCACACCATCGATTGCACCAGGTAGATTGCGCAGCGTAGGTTGTACCACATAGATGGTCCACATCTATGTGTATATATATAGACTGCACCACATATATTGCACACCATAAATTGCACCTACGTTTTGCACAATATAGATGGTACTGCAGAACAGATGTTGCCCAACATAAAGTACACCACATGTCTTGCACCGCATACGTCGCGCCACATATAGATTCCACCCGATAAATTGCTACACCAAGATTACATCAAGCCTATTGCATCACATATATTGCTCCACGTAGATGGCACAGCATACATTCCACAACGTAGCTTACACCACACATGTTGCACCACTGATGGCACTACATGTATTGAACCACATAGACTGCTCCACCTGAATAGCAGAACATTTATCGCACCATACACAGCACCACATATATTGGTCCATATAGATGGCACCACTTGGGTTTCTCCACATCGGTAGCACAACATACGTTGCTAGAATCACACTGTTTGCGGTCCGCGCTGGCTAATGTTTTAGACTCTCTCGGTGTGCTCGTTGGGGCCTGCTTCGGGCTCGTCTGGGGCCCGCTGGGACTCTCTTGGGGCATGACGGGGAATAGTTTTGGCCTCTCGTGGGCAAGCCTTGGAAGGTTTTGTGGCCACCTCGGGTCATGTTCGGGCCTTCTTGGGGCCCCTCGGAGTAATGCTGGGAGCCATCCTCAGCCAACGCGAGTCATCTTGCACGATCGTGGAGGTCAGCTGAGGACATCTTGGGGCCATCCATGGCACACATAGCAGAAACAAGAGGGGCCAGCTTCTCCTCCTCCCCTGATGAACCAACAACACACACCCATAACCATAGGGGTGTCGGAAAGGGCTATGGGTGCGTGTTGTTGGATGGGGGTCCCCGCTCGAACGGGAGCGTTCCCTAGGGTCCGACAACCCGCACCCATACCCATAGCCAGTCCTCCTCCCAACGACCTCCTTATGGGTATGGGTGTGTGTTGTTCGTTCGTCATCCCCCTCCCTCCAACTGCTCGCTTCCTTCGCCTCCACCGCCTTGTCCTCCTGCAAGGTCAACGGCATCTCGCAGAACCCGCCGAGAATGGCCAGGGCGCCCTCGCAGCCTGCCCTGCACAGCGGAAGAGGGAGGAAGAGAAGGAGGGGGAGGAGGAGGAGGAGGAGGAGGAGGAGGAGGAGGAGGAGGAGGAGGAGGAGGAGGAAGAGAAGGAGGAGGAGGAGGAGGAGGAGGAGGAGGAGGAGGAGCACGACAAGGTTCAGCCGTTTGCCCTAGGCATCTTCAAGCGCCCCGCCGCTTCCAGAGCGGTGAGCAGGGTGTTCCAGGGCAGGGTGGCGGCGGCCCTCGGCGACGGCGAGCACTCCGCGGGAAACGCAAGGGGAGCAGAGCACATGCACAAAGCAACGCTGCCGGACCAAAACAGCGGGCTTGGTTGCTGCAAGCTGAGCTTGGACGCCAGCAGTGCGCACAACAAGTACGACCGGGCGGTTGCTGCGCAGGCCGTCCAAGCGATGGTCCCAGAGCTGCTGACGTGGACTCGCGGCGGACTGTGCACGGCGGCCGTGCATGTCCACGCGACGCAGGACGACAGCCGCACTCTTCCCGCCAAGGAGCAGGGGGGTGACCAGGGCGACGCGCTCACCAACCAGTTGTTCCCGCTCTCGTGCAAGCACGTGGCGGACGCGGGGGTGGCCGTGGCCAGGACGGCGACCGTGCCGGAGCGCAGCTACGGCTACCAAGACGACCTGGGCGTCAGTTGCGAACCGGCCGCCGCGGCGCAGACGGAGGCGGCATTCGTCGCTGTTTGTGCGCAGGTTGGCCTCCGTGGCAACGCGACTAAAACCAAACTAAGCCTTGGGCGCGATGTGGGCGGGGCTGGCCCCGAAGGAAAAGCCGCGGGTTTTCGTGCTTCGCCACGGCGCGACGCTCATTGCACAGGGGGTGCCGTTGGCCCCAACCGCAGTGCCAGCCGACGGCAGCGTGCTGGCAGTGGGAGCGGTGGCCCTCTTGGCGGTTTCACAGGCGCGCGCGCGTATTCCCCGGCCGCTGGATTGGACGCGCAGCAGACCCTCGCGCTGCTGCGGGCCCGGACGAGCTCCGACTACACCCTCCTCGCGCGCACCTACGGCGTCCCGACGACAGAGGCCCGCCCCTTGGACGCGGCGCTCCTTGCAGCGCAAGCGCGGCTGGCCGCTGGAGGGCCTGAGCGGGAGGAAGCTTTGCTTTGTGGGGAAGGACGGCGGGCTGGGCCTGCAGAGCGTCGAGCTCGCGGCGGCGGCGGTCCAGGCGGCGTCGTGGAAGCTCTGCCTTTTGCACTGCCTGCGCAGACTCGGGCTAGACGAATTGAGCTCGCTGGCCAGCGTGAGCCAGCGGGCGCGGAGGTGTCTCCCGGGCGCGACGCGTGTATTGCCCTCAAGGACGGGACCGCGACGAGGGGTTCGCAGCCTCGCAGCACACTTCTGCTACGGCCCCCCTCGTTGCGGCTTCGCACATGGCTGCCAACGAGACGAGCTGAGACCCAGTGGCAGCTGCGGCCCTGCCCCGTGGCTAGCGCCCGCCTGGCCCGCCTTCCCGGCCAGAGCGCCGCCTCGCAGACGAGCAGTTCGGCATCGCGCTGAGCGCGCGCCTCGGCGAGGACTTGCCCTGCTACGCGGGGGCGCGCCAGCACAGGCACAGGCGCCCGACGGGGGCGCGCGCGGAGCAGTGCTGGACACAAAAAGGCGTCACGCGCGGTTCTGAACGGCGGGCGGGTGGCTCGCAAACTGTGTCATGCTGGCAGCCTGGTGCGAGGAAATGGGGTGCACAGTGCACAAGGGAATTGTGTTGCCGCACGCGGCAGCGAGCCAGCCCGAGGTGCGAACGCTTCATGCACGCCCCCTGGGTAGCAGCGCCCATCCAGGTGGACGTTCCCGTGGTCAGCTCGCTGTCCCAGGACGCGCTGGAGTGCGGGTCAGCCCCGCGCGCTGGCGCCGCCGCCGCAGCGGCTGAGATTGACGCTGCACCCTGGCCTGAGGATGGTCCCGTTCGCAGTGGAGAACCACGGCCAGTTAGGGGGAGGACGCCGGCCTGCTGGCCCCGCCGCCTGATGACGACGGGCGGTCGTCGGCCATCCGCCGCCTGCACCAGGCGCTGGGCAGCGTGCTCCAGCGTTGCGCTGCTGACGCTGTGCTCGCGGCCACGCAACACCGTTCTGGCGAGGGCCCCCAGACGCAGCGCTAAGGGCACCAGACCCGCTGAGTGCGATGGTGCCGCCACGGCGCAGCGCCCGGCAGCGGCGGCAAATGCGGCAAAGGCGGGCTGGGTTCGCTGGGCGGCGGCGGCGGGCCAGACAGCAGAAGTCGAGGCGCGCTGGCGGGCACCGGGGGGCAGATGGTGCGCCGGCCAGCTCGCGGGAGCGCGCCCGGGCGGCCGCGGCGCGCTGGGCCATGGCGGCTGATTGGGCAGCTGCGGCGGAGGCGCGCCGGCGCGCAGCGGCAGGCAAGGCGCGCGGGCGGCCCAGCAAGCTCGGGTCACTTCCGCCTGATCGCGGGTTGGTTGAGTTGGGCCGCGACTCGGCCCATTTTCGCGCGGGCGGCGCGCCTCACAGGGCGCGGCCGAGCGGCGGCCACCGAAGCGCCAGCCGCGGCCCTGGAACGCGGCGGCGCGGGGCCGGCGACGGCTGGGCGGCGCTGGTGCAGGCTGCGGCGGCGACGGAGGCGGGCGCCTGGCCAGCGTTCGCCTTCGCTTGCCAGGTCGTCGCTGGCTCGTTCGGCGTCAGGGGGTGTCTCGTGGGGCGGAGTGCGCGGACACACGGTCCGCGGAGGAAACGGAGGAGGAAGAGGAGGAGGAGGAGGAGGAGGAGGACGAGGACGAGGACGACGAGAAGGAAAAGGCGGAGGAGGAGGAAAAGGGGGAGGGGGAGGGGGAGGGGGAGGGGGAGGGGAGGGGGGGGGGGAGGGGGGGGGGGAGGGAGGAGCAGGAGGACGAGAAGGAAAAGGCGGAGGAGGAGGGGGAGGGGGAGGGGGAAGGGTACGATGTCGGAGAAATTGGACCTGAAGTGAGGTCGCAGTTTCCCCACTCTCTCTTTCTCCCTATCTCTCTCAGGCACGAGGCATATCGGCCTGCCGAGAGGCTGGCACGGTCGCAAACATGACTGTCGGTCGGCGCGCAGAGCTGCACGAGCAAGGGTAGAAAGAGGGAAGAATCGCGATATGACAAATCGAGTTCACGGAAGGTTTCGGGGAAATCGACAGGGGGGAAGTGCAATGGGAGGGGTAAGACCCAAACACAGGAAATGTGGAAAACGTCTGAAAACGCACCCGTTCTCCGCATCACCGCGGGTCTCCTCCATCCTCCTTCACTTGAAGGCCCAGTTGGTGGCTGCTACGACCGCCCCGCGGGCAGAGGCATCGTGGCCGGCCTGCTCAATTTTGTCCCACACCGTCAGTGGGGCGCCCACGAGATTCAGAACCGTTTGACGTGCGCATGCTTCCGCTCTATGAAAAACGTGCAACGTCCACCACGCGTTTGCCACATCAAGGTATCTGTCGGAGGGTGGTGCAGCCACGTCATTGAACCGAGACTCGGAGCGGAAGCCGACATAGAAATCTTGGTGCCTGGCATAGCTGAGGGCCTCGTAACACACAAAATGCAGACGTATAGTATCGTCAACATAACAACAACCCGTATCATGACGACGCTTTCAATTGAAAGTTTGGAAAGAGATTTGCTCACCAATCCAAGGCAATTCTTCAATTGCTCGAGGAAGGGAGGCCGGTACCCAAACTGCGTCGTATGCTGCTGCGTCCACTCGATGGAGGAGGCGTATGCTGTGAGGGTGGAGATGATGATGGATGTGCGAGAACTCCTCACACCCAGTGTAAACCCGATGCGCTACTCTGTGGCCCCGGAATCCATGTCCAGGGCTGACTCAGGTATTTGTATCTTGGTTGCGTCCGTCACGAGTAGAAAATGTGTCGCACGCGTCGATATTTTCTTCTGGTCACGGGGAACGCTCTTGCCGACATCCACGGTGGCCAGCATCAAGCGGATCCGCCCCTTTCCTTCGTTCGCTTGGTCGCCCTCGGAGAAGCACTTGACGATGAGATGTTGAGATGGACTCCTGCGAGTGGTCGGTCGGCAACGGCACATTGCCCACCAAGCTCTTGAGCCAAATCCGTGCCACTCCGCTGGCGGAGCTGGAAGGAAACCTCCGCTGCCTCCGCTGCCGGCCGCCGCCGCCGGCCCAGGAGGCGCCGCGCCCGCAATGCCTCTGGGCGGGGCCTGCACGCCTGTCGGCGGGAAGCCTCGGCCGCACACGCGCGCCATGTGCTCGTCGAAGACGAACTTCATCGCGCCAGCCAGCGCCTCGCCCTGGGCGCGAACGTGCTCCTCCGAGCAGACCTGGTCCCACTCAGCCAGGAAGTTGGCGTCCTGAATCTGTGGCTCTCTGTCAGGTAGTGGCCGATACAATCGGAGAGGGTGTCAACGAACAGTGCGCAGTTCATCGTATCCGGGGGGGCGACATTGAAGTACACGCCGCTGCTATTTTGCCCACCTGTGGGCTGTTATGAAGCATACGTGTGTTGAGTCCGATGTGCACCGTTGACCAGGGGCCCGTGTCGCACTCGGTGTGGTGGAGAGTACGTTGTCGGAGAAGCTGGACTTGAATTGAGGTCGCATTTTTCCCTCTGTCTTGGTAATTCGGCATGTCGGCATGCCGCGGGGCTGTGAGCACCGAGTGGGCCCGCGCGGCACCCCCTCAAGCCCGAATGGCAGTGGGCACCAGAAGCTGCACGAGCAAGGGTAGATGGAGGAATTGCGATGTGAAAAGCCAAGTTCTTGGAAGGCTCTTCGGGAACTTGGGTGGAGGGGGAGGGAGAGTGGGAGGGGGAGAGGGAGGGGGAGGAGGAGGAGGAGGAGGAGGAGGAGCAGGAGGAGAAGGAGGGGAAAAAACGTAAGAGTGGGAGGAGGAGGAGGAGGAGGAGGAGGACGAGGAGGAGGAGGAGGAGGATGAGGAGGAGCAGCAGAAGCAGCAGCAGCAGCAGCCAGCGAGGGCGGCGGCAGCAGGTGCGTGCGGGGGGGGAGAGGCGGAGGCGCATGCCGAGGATATCTTGCCCCCGTCTCCCCTTGCCTAGTTCTCTTCCCTTCCTCGCCCACCTGCCCTCCCATTTCACCTTTTCCCTGCCGGTCCCACTCCGCTACTGTTTTCCCTCCCCAGCATCCCCTTCCTTCCCTTCTTCCGTCCCTCCCTGCTCCCTCTTCTCCCCCTCTCCCCTCCCCTTCCCTTCTGCTCCTCTCTCCCGACCCGCCGTGCGGCGTGCTTGACTCCTGCCTGTTTGACCGTTTTCCTTTTTGCTTTCGAGCGCTGGTTTTTTGGGCCCACCTGGTCTCCAGGGAACCAGTGGGAGCAGTCGTGTAGGGGACCAGCCCTTCCATAATCTGACATTGCTCGTGGTTCCAATGCGGCAAATGTCCGCCATGGGTCCTGACACGCGTTGTCATTCATGTCGGTGCCGTCCCTTCCTCCCCTCTCGCTGCCTTCCAGCTGCTGCTGCTGCTGTTGCTGCTGCTGCTGCTGCAGTTGTTCTTCCTCCCTCCTCCGTTCTCCTCTTCCTCCATGGCGTGGTTGAGTGCAAAATCCTCCTCCCTCCTCCTCCTCCTCCTCCTCCTCCTCCTCCTCCTCCTCCTCCTCCTCCTCCTCCTCCTCCTCCCTCGGGCTGCCCTCGCGACGTACGCGCAGGAGTTCTCGCACGGGGAGACCTCGGAGATCCGCTTCACAGTGCAGCGCCTCAGGGAGCCTCCCCCCTCCGCCAGCCCTGAGAGCATGAGGAGGAGGAGGAGGAGCAGCAGAAGGAGGAGGAGGAGGAGGAGGAGCAGAAAGAAGTGCCCTCCTCATGGAGGGAGGGGGTCTGATCCGGACCCGCGGTTGGGACCTCCCGATGCTGGCACCGAGCGGTGGAGCCCCCTTCAGGGGTCGTGAGCGCCGCAGAGGCGGCGGCGGGGACAACGGCAGCGACGGTGGCGGTGGCGAGGACGACGAGGACGACAGGGAGGTCGACGCCGACGACGACGCCGATGCCGATGCCGACGCTGATACCGACACCGACGACGACGACGCCGACGCCGACGCCGACGCCGAAGCCGACGCCGACGCCGACGACGACGTCGACGACGACGACGACGACGACGACGACGACGACGACGACGACGACGGCGGCGACAACGGCAGCGACGGTGGCGGTGGCGAGGACGACGAGGAAAGCGGAGAAGTCGACGCCGACGCCCACGCCGATGCCACCTCCGCCGCCGCCGCCACCGCCGCCGCCGCCGCCAACGACCACGACGACGACGACGACGACGACGACGACGACGGCGGCGGCGTCGGCGGCGGCGGCCGCGGCGGCCGGTGGGGCGGCGGCGACAGCGGCGATGAGAGCGCCGACGCCGACTCGCCGTGGTCAGGAGCCCGCGCGGCAGGGCGCCATCGAGCAGCTCTTGCCGGGGGCACCGCCTCCGCAGCTGCGGCCGCCGCCGCAGCCGCGGCCGCAGCCTGTCGCCGCTGCCCACCCTCCCAGCGCTCCCGGAGGGCTCCAGGAAGAGGAAGAGGAGGAGGACGAGGAGGAGGAGGTGGAGGTGGAGGTGGCTGTGGTCGCAGTTGCGAGCAGCCGGCTCTCTGACGTTTTGTTCGTTTCGCGCCCAGGCCCTATTGGCCTGGGGGCGTGACCCGGCTTTGCGGGCGCTCCGCGACGGCTTGGCCAAGCTCGACGTCTTCTTCACGTCGCGCCTGGGCCCCTCTGGCCTGGGGGCGTAACCAGGCTTCGCCGGCGCTCCGCGCTGGTCGGGTCAAGCAGCCAGGGCAAAGGCACCATGCTGCTTTTCGATGGTGGAGGAGGAGGAGGAGGACCAGTGTAAACCAAAGACGCATCAACGATGTTGCAATAAACCCTCCCTCCAAGCTCCCTCTTCACAGGTGCCTACAATAATTTATTTTTGTTGCGGAAGTGCTCCATTGGAAGGGAGCCGTCTGAGAATCGTCAATCGTACGAAAGCCCATTCCTGGAGCTTCAGCATCAGGAATCAACGTGATTGCTGCATTCTGCCAGTCCTGCATGGTGCCAAAACACCATTCCTGGAACTTCAAAACCGCGAGTCAGCGTGACTGGTGCGTTCTGACAATCCTGAATCGTGCCAAAACACCGTTCCTGGGACCTCAACCGTGCGAATTGTTGAAACTGCTACAAGCTTGTAAGACGAATGAGCGCGGCGCTAAGGCGTCGGCCACTGTTTGAAAAACAAGTGCCCTCCATCTTTGAAGGTGTTGCAAAATTTACCAGAAAGGTTCTCCTTGCTGCCCCAGCCACCGCGCCGGACTCACCAGACTCACCGGACACGCCGGCCACCGGATACACCGGACACACCAGACATACCAGACACAACGGACACACCAGACATACCGGACACACCAGACACATTGGACACACCGGACACACCGGACATATTGGACCCACCGGACCCACCGGACCCACCGAACCCACCGGACTCGCCGGACTGACCGAATTCGCAGGACCCACCGGACTCACGGACTCACCGGACTCCCGGATCACCCGACGATTTTGATTGTTTTGGTGATAGTGTTGGTATTGAGATAAGGATTTGGATGATGATGATGATGATGATGATGATGATGATGATGATGATGATGATGATGATGATGATGATGATGATGATGAGTATTATGATGACTTGGATGCTGCAGCTGGCGGCGTTCACGATAATTATGTTCTGGTGCTTTGCTTTTGAACGTTGGTGCTGATCAGGGTGGTGGCGCTTATTATGGCAATGCGCCCGTTGTTGAAGAAGTGGGGAGGATGACAACAAAATGAATGGTGCTGGTGAGGAAGGAGAGAGGGAAGCAGGTAGAGGATAGCATGTTATAAGGACCGTCGTAATGATGAGGGAGATTATGATCATAACGACGACGATGGCAATGATGATGCTGATTGTGCTCGTTGTGGTGATGCCCATGACAAGGATGATGACGACGACGATGATGATGATGAGGCTGAAGAGTGCGCTTATGACGATGAGGATGGTTTGTACGATCGTGGTGATGATTCCGTCGACGGGGGGCATGCTGATGGCGATCGTTGTAACGAGTTTGGTTGTGATGATGATGGTGGCGCTGATGTTGGCATGCCCGATTTGGATCATGATTTTGATGATGAGTACGATGATGATTTGGATGCTGCAGATGGTGGTGTTCACAGTAATGATGGTTCGGGTGATTTGCTTTTGAAGGTTGATGCTGATCAGGGTGATGGCGCTTATTATGGCAATGCGCTCGTTGTTGAAAAGTGATGAGGAGGACGACAGCATGAATGGTGCTGGTGAGGAGGAAGGGAGGGAAAGAAGTAGATGAGAATTAATGATGAGGCATATGATAATCATAACGACGACGATGGTAATGATGAGGCTGATTGTGTTCGTTGTGGTGATGCCCATGACGATGATGATTACGACGACGACCATGATTCTGATGATGAGGCTGAAGCGTGTGCTTATGATGATAGGATGGTTTGTGCGATCGCGGTGATGACTTCGTCGACGGGGGATATGCTGATGGCGATCATTGTAACAATTATGATTGTGACGATGGTGGTGCTGACATTGAGATAAAGATTTGGGCGATGATGACAAGCAGCATGATGACTTGGATGTTGTACATGGCGTCGCTCACGACAATTATGTTATGGCGATTTGCTTCTGGACGTTGATGCTGTTTAGGGTGATGGCGTTTATTGCGACAATGCACATGTTGTTGGTGTGGATAGTGGTGACAAGGATGCTGTTGATGGTAAGTTTTGCTCCCGCCCTGGACCTCGACCCCCAAAGATCCACGAAGCTCCCCGAAGGTCCCTGGTGGTGATGCCGATGATGATGATGGCGACAACGATGATGATGAGGCCGAAGCTCCTGCTTATGACGATGTGGAGGGTTTGGACGATCGTGGCGATGATTCTGTCAACGGGGGTACTGCTGATGACGCTCATTGTTACGAGTGTGGTTGTGATGATGATAATGATGGTGTTGATAGTTGTGATGATAATTTCGATGATGCTGATCAGGAGTACGATGATGACTCGGATGCTGCTGATGGCGACGTTCACGATAATGATATTTCTGGCGATGTGTTTGTGGACGTTGATACTGGTTAGGGTGATGGCGCTTACTGTGACAATGCGCATGTTGTTGGTGTGGATAGTGGTGACAAGGATGATGTTGATGGTAAGTTTGGCTTCCGCGATGCGGATGTTGATGCTGATGGGATGCTGACGCTTACGATGATGATACATGTGTTGTTGGTGTGGATACTGATGACACTGATGTTGCCAATGGTGTGGTCGAAGATGCCGATGACAGCGATGCTGATGATGTTCATGATCATCCCAATGGGCTTTGTCCCACCCCGCCACAGTGCTTGGGTTGTGGGCCAGAGTCCTCGGGGATGTTTTTTCGGGCCTCTTCAGAGTATTCTCGGAGGCCTCAGGAGGGCAATTCTGCTGGGCTGCAAGTGCCTGAGCTTCCCTGGACGCCCTCAGCCCGCGCCAGCTCTCCCGCGCAGCCTGCCGCTGCTTGGTGAGTGGGCCGGCCGCCTGCGGCGCGTTTAGTAGCTAATTAGGCCGCTTCCGTGTCCCGGAGCGCTGCTGACTCCGCTAGCGCTCTCGCTGGCGGACGCGACCGAAAAAGTATTCCCACCAGCCCATCCAGGAACGATGCCCCGGAGAGCTGACGGGAGAAGGGGGGAGAGACGCACATAGTGAAACAGCGCGGGCAACAACTGTGAATTGGGATATCACTGGTAGCGAAGGGTGTTGGTGCTGCTGTTGGTGCTGTTGCCTCTGCTGGTACTGCTGCTGCTGCTGCTGCTGCTGCTGCTGCTGCTGCTGCTGCTGTTGCTGGTGCTGGTGTTGCCGGTTATCGTGCTGCTGGTGCCGCTGGTGTTGCTGCTAGTGCTGGTGGTGGTGTTGCCGCTGCTGCTAGTGCTGTTGGTGGTGGTTGTGGTGTTGTTGCTGCTGCTGGTGCTGCTGCTGGTGCTGACGGTGATGGTGGAAGCAGGCTGTGTAACAATCGCCTCGGACGCGTTTTCTCGGAGGTCTCTTGGAGCCATCTTGGGGGTCTCTTGGGGTTCTGTTGGGCGCCCTTTTTGGCATTCTTGGGGCTCTTTTTGGGTGTGTTGCGGCCCTCTTGGGATTCTTTGTGGGGGTCTGGGAGGCCTCTTGGGGCCGTCTTGGCCCCCATTTGTTCAAAAAGATGGATGTCCCCAATTCAGGTCCTCTCCCTCGGAAGCTTAATAAGGGCGTCTTGGGACTTTGGCCGCTCTTGGAGCGCTCTTGGGCGCTCTTGGGGCCGTCTTGGGGCCCTCTTCAGCCCCTCTTGGGGCTCCCTCGGGCTACCTTGGGCCCATCTTGAGGCCTCAAGAGCCCATCGGAAGTGAAAAAGCGAAAAGGCTCAAGAAACACATTGTAGTTGCAAACGCTGTCGGCTATTTGGTGCCAGACGATAGCAGACGATAGCAGACGAAAGCAGACGATAGAAGACGATAGCAGACGATAGAAGACGATAGCAGACGATTGCACCCAAGTGCCTTGTTGCCTCCTGTTTGCCCCTTGCGGTTCCTGCCGGCCCCACAGCTGGTTTCGTGCTATCGTCAGTTTTCGTCTGCAGCTGGTCCTGGCAGCTCCCAGCTGGTCCTATCGTCTGCTATCGTCCGCTATCGTCTGCTGCAGGTGATAGCCGACGACAGCCACCCCCGGCGGCCCCTATCAGATCCCATCGTCTGCTATCGTCTGCACCGTTTCTCCATCGTCTGCAGCGGGCCCTGGCAGCCCCTAATTAGCCCTATCGTCTGCTATCGTCCGCTATCGTCTGCTGCAGGTGATAGCCGACGACAGCCACCCCTGGCGGCCCCTATCAGATCCTATCGTTTGCTATCGTCTGCAATCGTCTGCACCGGTTCTTGGCGGCCCCCAGCTGGACCTCGTTTGCAATCGTCTGCAGCTGTTCCTGGCCGCCGCTAGCTGGTCCTATCGTCTGCTATCGTCTGCTGCAGACGGTGGCAGACGATTGCCACCAGTGGCCCTAATGCGTCTATCGGCCCCTGCAGTCGATGTCCATCCAGCAACGATGTCCAGGCGAATTTTCTTGATCAGGGAGAGGATGGGGAGTGGAGCGAGGAGGGGGGAAGAGGATGAGGATAAGGAGGAAAACGAGGGGGAGGAGAAGAGCGAACGGAATTGGGCAGCAGGGGGAGGATGAGGAGTACGAGAATGAGATGAGGGAGGAGAAGTGGAGTGTGAGTGTATATGGGTGTGCGCCTGAGTGTGAGCGCGTATGAGCTGAAGCTTACAGGAGTGTGAGTGGTCTGTTTGTGAATGGGTCTGTGTGCGTCGATGCACATCCAGCAATTTTGTCCAGGCGAATGATTTTGATCAGGGAGAGAATGG